GAAACAAAGACTTACGAGATTAATGACACCTGAGTATTTTCCCTCATGGTATATAATACAAATAACTATCATATGTTCAACATTTCTCTCATTTCCTGTCATCATAAGGGCAATTAAAACACCCATCTCTAGCTCAGAATCAAGCAAGGGTAACAATAACATTTATTATTTGTATTGCGCCTTTTCTATAAAATATTCAGAAGCGCATCACAACAGTAATTAATAACTAAAATTTTACAAATCTTTCTATCAAAATCGTAAAAAATATTTACATTAAATGAGTAAAAGATAATTACAAATAAAGATATAGTTATACTAAGATAACTGAAATGATTCCTTAAATAAAAATGTCTTAATTGAGGTCTTAAAAGATTCTAAGTTCGTTGCTTTGCGCGCGGACCTTGGCGGCTTATTCCATAGGAAAGCAGCAGCTACCTGGAAAGCTCTGTCTCCCACTGTTTTCTTGGTTTTTATACTTGGTCTTTCCAACAAACGACCATTGTCAGTGCGCCTCAAATGGTAGGACGAAGGGTGTTGAATACTAATTAAATCTGAAAGGTACTTAGGTGATAGGCCATGCAAAATTTTACAAGTTATCAAGAGCATCTTATAATGTATCCTGGAGCGCACTGGTAACCAATGTAATTCTGCGAGTAGAGGTGTTGTATGACAGAACTTGTGCGCATGATATACAAGTCTTGCACTCGCATTCATAACACGTTGCAATTTCATAGTCTGATATTCCGGGATTCCATACAGAAGGCTATTACAATAATCCAATCTACTACTAATAAAAGCATGAACTAATTTCTCAGTTGATTCTCTGGATAAATATTTCCTAATATGACGTATATTGTATAAATAATAGATAGCGCTGCTACAAGTCTTTGTAATGTGAGTTCCCATATCTAGATGCGTATCGAACCATGTACCTAAATTGCGCGCAGAGGCTACAGGAGACACTTCAGTCTGGCCAGTCTTGATGCTTTGGATTGAAACTTTTGAGAGCTGCTGACGAGTACCTATAATCAGGAACTCAGTCTTGTCATCATTGAGCATCGGCTGATCCTCCGTCATCCATGCTCGGACATCGCAGATGTACTTCTGCATGGCTGATACAGCTTCGACTTCACTGGAAGAGTCAGAGGGCGTAAATGACAAATACAACTGTGTATCGTCAGCATAAGTATGGACGGAGGGCAGATGGTGTTTTAGAATCTGGAACAGCTTACTCACGTAGATGGTAAATAAAAGCGGGCCCAGGCACGACCCTTGAGGAACTCCACACTTCAAATCAAACGGCTTTGAGAGAGTTCTGTTGATAGACACTTGCTGCGATCTGCCCTTAAGGTAACTCTCAAACCATGAAAGTACTTTCCCCCACAATCCAATTGTTGACCTCAATCGTTCCAGAAGGATCTCATGTTTGACGGTGTCGAATGCAGAGCTTAAGTCGAGAAGCACCAGCAGCGTAACTTGACCTTTATCCATCGCCATTAGGAGATCGTTCTTCACCTTGAGTAGTGCGGTCTCAGTGCTATAATGTTGGCGGTAAGCACTTTGCAATTCTGGAAACAAGCCATTGACTAGCATGTGCTCTTGTAATTGTACTGCAACCGCTTTCCCTGTGAGTTCGGACGTGAATTGTAAATTACTCACAGGCCGAAAGTTCTTGTTTATCAATTGAAGACCAGATTTTTTGAGCAGGGATGTACTACTGCCCTTTTCCAGTCATCTGCAAAGTAGCCATTCTCTAGTGATACTTTCACCATCCTACTAATCACTGGAAGTAACTCCTCTATGCAAAGCAACAAGATGGATGATGGAAGAGGGTCCAGAGTACATGTCTTCATCCGGGCTTCGGTCTTCGGTCAGCTAGCTTTGATCTAATAGCCACTATTTTATGGATGAAGTATTCACCCATCTCATTTGCAAAAACAGAGGCGTCAGTGTGAGGTGAAAGAGACTTGTCCGCTTGCAGATTTAGTAGGCTCTTGCTAGCCCGGAACAGCTTTGATTGGTCCGAACTGTTCTCGTCAATGAATTCCTTGTAATAAGTACATCTAGCTTCATTCATCAAATGTATGACATAATTTCGCTTAGCTTTAAATACTACAAGATCTGCTTGGAGACCACTTGCTCTCCATCTTCTCTAGGCCTTCCTCCTGTCCCTACGAGCCTGAATTATGTCTTCATTGAACCACAGGGGCCTGGGTCGAGTGGAGACATGACGAAAACAAACGGGCGCGTGATCATCTAATAGTGATCTTAAAGTCGTGTTATAACAGTCGAGCAGCATGTTCAAATCATTAAGTAGATCTTGATATAGCTGAGAATTGCAGATATCTTCTTCCAGTTTAGTTATATCAATTAATTTGAGTTTACTGTATTCAGCATGTTTGATTCTTAGCGGAGGTTTCGCCACACTTAGCTTAGGTCTGTTCATTGTAGGTATTTCTGTAACCTGTTTTGCCAAAAAGAAAAAAAGGGGGGCATAATATTATTGTTTGTCCACAATAAACATTTGGAAATTTGTTAAGGCGATATTAGATATAAACGCTTTACTCTTACACATACATTTACATTGCAGTTTTTTTTTCTTTCTTGAGCCTTCTGAAGTATTCCAAAATGCAAGAGAGAAAGTAAAAATATTAGTGAACTGAGATTTCAATGAATTAAGCCTTTGGTTTTTAAATCTAACCTTAACATACTACTGGTGTCAGCTGTTAAGGAAGTACATTCTGTACTACCAGGTGATAATTTGAATATTTGAGTGTTTAGCCTGTTTCAATCTCCCAGATAGTAAAATATGCATATATACATCAAGTGAAAGGCATGCAAAAATATGAGTTTTTGATCTACTTTCTTAATTGCACTGACCTGACGATTGCCACTTAGATGTAATAAACACTGTTTCTAACTTGAAACTATGTATCTTTGATCCCAGGTACGATCCTGTCACTAATCAGGGAGTCGTGAAGACAATTGCAGAAGTTGCACGACTGGGCTAGAATCCTCAGCTCCGTGACGTACTGGTCTATGGATTCGCCTTCTTTTGGTTCTCGTTTGTTGAGGAGAGAACGCTCGAATGTTTCATTTGTCTCTCCAATGTTGTATCTGTCAAAGCCTGCGATGATCGCATTGACATTACGCTTGTCTTAACTTAAATCAAAGCCGTGGTAGGTTTTCACAGCTTGTGGGCCTATCGCATAAAGAAATAGAGTGATTCTATATTCCTCTGTTTGTCTGTTCAACTGCGCCACGATTTCATAGTTCTTCCTTTGTTGCTTGCATAACTTCCAGATCTCGCCCTTGTCTCTCGAGGACAGATTCAATCTTGTCAGGGGTTGTATACCTTGCAATGGCACTGCTGGTTGTTCTCCAGCGTTAGGAGCTGGTTGTTCAGCAATCGGTTGGGCCTCTGCGGCTGGTTCTGCAACCTCTGCATCGCTCATTCTGTTTGATTTACCGCTGCCACCATGTTAAGTTCTCTGAACAGCGTCTTTATTAGAACAGATCATCAACTGAGGAGCAATTACACATGGAGGGAAATCTGACACAAGATCTACACGTGTTCGGTATCTTATTACATTATGTAACATCTTTGTGACAAGAAACGTCAATGTAGCGTGTGAATGGAGGTTGTCCGCTGTTGTTTGCCACACTTTTCCTTCTTCAACTGTCCTCGCCCTTAGACGATGCCCTTCCAATAACAAAACCGCCCGAGCGAGAGCAAGGTCGTGCTTGTTTATCCACTCTATTACCACACTTAATAATATACACGAAAAAGTAACTCAATTCTGATTGGCTGAGAAAGGAGTGCAGTTCCTCTGTAACACGAGTGCAACCTTGTAACGCGAGTGCAAAACTAAATGAAGAGCAGAAATACGAGCTATTTGTGATCGTAGGTTCCTAAGCTTCTCAAAGTTGTACTTTGCCACACTGAGCTTGTCAAAATATAATCGTGGTGCATCTGTGAAGTCACTCATGTTAACATGCTATGGTGTCCTCTGACAGTGTCATCCAGTCATCTTAAGTACGCTGACCATCTCGTAAGCGAAGGAGTATTGCTTGAAATTGTTCTGCCTCAGGGTTGTTTCCAGCCTGTCGAATGTTTTCAGCATGACCACTGTTTCAAATAGACCATGAATGGAATGTCGATACTGTGTGAGTAAAGAACTGGACTGGGATGGGGAAGCATAAATAGGCTTATCTCCAACGGGTGGGAGCTGTGCAAAATCTCCAAGGAGCATAAGGGAAATCCCTCCAAGAGGTTTATTAAGTTTTCCTGTGGCTTGTTGTATACGCTTATCTACCCAAGCTAGTGTCCTCTGACCAAGCATTGACATTTCATCCGTAATAAGGTATTGCTTTCCAGAGAAACGACGTTGCAATGCTGTTCCGTTTAAGTCATTATTATTATGATTACGAACTGGCAGCTGTAAAGCTAGTGCTGCATGATTAGAAGCAAGGATGCTATAAGCAAGCATCTGTTGTCTATTCAGTCGTGCTGGATCAACAGTTTGTTGCTGTCGTCTGTTAAGAACACTTGGGTCTTCTAGAGCCTCGTTTCTGCGTTTTGTAATCCAGTTAACAGATTCACGTAGTAGGGCAGGCGGCATTGCTCTTGCAGTTTCTGTCCAGTCAAACTGCAAGTTTCCATGAGACTGGCTTCCTTGTGAGATTGTTTCATCGTACCGTTGATTGAGGCGATATAGCAGCATCCACTCCTCTGGTACTCCCTCACGTTGTGGCACTTCCTCATCGTCATCATCACTGTTGTCATCTTCATCGACATGTCCATTATAACGACGTGCTTGTTCAAGCTCTTGCTGTAACACTGGAATGTAATGTGCAGCACTTTCAGAGGAAAGAAATGCATGATAGCACTGAATGTGATTTTGATGGCAATCATCAAGTCCATCCCATGCAGTATTGACTTCTCCAGGCCAAGGCTTATATTTAACTAGCGCATACTTGCAGTAATTACCATAATCCTTTCCCGAAGGATTTGGAGAGAAAATTGGAAAAGTCCTAATAATTACTTCCTGTTTACGGTGTTTGGGCTTCCTCTTAGTGACATGGTAAGCAGAGGCAAATTGTACCAGATTAAGGTTAAGAATTTCAGGGTTATTTTCTTGCCAGTTAGCACGAGTAGCATAATGGTCAAGTACTGATGGATCTAATGCTTGATCGCCTTGGTTTTCATCATCTTCATCTCCAGTCCGAACTCTTCGACTTCCATCCAATGAGACACAGAGAAAGGAATAGGTGCAAGAATACAATGGTTTTCCAAGAAGCATACGTGCAGTTTGAGATCCTATGTCACGTTCTCCAGCGACTTGAATCATTGCTCTTCGCAGTGCAGATGAAGCCATGTCTGTATTATCGTCTATTAACACACGCAGCGAGTATCTCAGATGCGGACTGTGATCGAGGTTCACCTTTTGTTGCGTATTTTGCCATGTACCGGATGCACTGGTCAGTGTCAACGATGGCCTGAAGATCTACATTAGCTCTCCAGTGTTGTAACATAACACGGTTGTGAGAGTTGATGCGTCCATCATTTCGCTTCGTGGTAAGTGTTGCTTTCACTTGTACTTGGGTGATTTCCTCAACTGTTAATTCATGTTCATCACTGGCAGCTTTTGTTATGAGCTGAAAGTCAATGGTAGTTTCATCCTGACAGTCTTTTGGGAAATTAAATCGGCATGTTGGCTGCTGGCCAGGTTTCATTTTAATGCAGTATGCTGCGCTACATTTTGTATGGGGTTCTACAGAATTATCAAGGGCTTCATAGTCTCTATCTAAATTGTCTACAGTGTCAATCGATATTGCAGATGGATGAGGTGAGGGAATGGTCCAGTTGTCTTGTGGAAGTGCGTCATTAATAGTTGTGATCAGCCACTTAACATACACTTTTACAGTTTCTTCTGCTTGATGTCCTGCTTCTATTTGAGGTTGGAAGTCATTCAGCATCTGGTGATAACTTGGATGTTCTCGACAGCGTAAAATTTGTTCCAGCTTCCATCCCTGCGCTGCTGTCTTCACAAGGCTGCAAAGGCCTGGGTCATTGGAAAGCTTTGCACACCCATGTGCATGAATACTGCCCCGTGCTTGCCACTTAAAGCGGAGCCATTTCTATTCTGCACTCATTACACGATCCAGCCAATGAGAACAAAATTCATCTAACCGTGAAACAAAGATAGCATCTGTGATGTGAGGATTATCAATTACAACCCTAATTCGAACAGAAGGAACTGCTTTGTTTGGCTCTTGAAGAAGTCTGTGTAAATCTGGCCAATAGTTATCAGCAGCACTGAAAGTAAAGAAGAAAGTGGGTGCTCCTTTCTGTGTGATTAATGCCTTAAGTTCCTGGTAACGCTGATACCAATTTTGCTTTGTCCCTTGTATCTTAGCAACGTAACGCTGAAGACGATTCATTAGGTGGTTTGCAGTCATTTGACCTATCATTTGTGGAAGTTGCTTGGTCGTTAAGTTGGCATCTTCTGGGTTTTGAGTAAGGTAAATGCGAGCTTGTGACAATAATTGATGGCGTTGTTTCATGTTTAATGCCCAATATGGAAATCGAGGGTGTGAGACAAATCGCCAAGTAAAGATTCCATCAGTTGAAAGGTCTGCACACTTAATAAGGTGTTTGAAACAGTCTGTTAAGGAAACTTCACGAACGCGCGTACGCTTGGTTGGGTCCCCTTTACCATAAGGAAAAAGCGTTGGAAATGCCATGGTAGCCAAGCCCTCTGTGCGAAATTCATTGATAGGATCCCCATCATTAGCTGGCCAGTCTAGCGGATCAACACCATTAATTAATGCGCGTATCGCATCCTGTTCAGTCTGTTGTCGCTGTGGAAGTGGAAGGAATGAATGACTCTGGTGTGAAATCTGTTCTTCGGCATCTTCTTGTTGGTCATCTTGCTCTTCACTTGACTCTGGATCCTCCACCGTTGGAAGATCATCAGGTACCCCATCCTCTGGCAAGCGCTCAAGTGATTCATAGTCAATAGCCATCAGCATAAAAAGGATTGTTCGCTTTAAGCCACATTATAGCCTGAAGCACTTTCTGTCTTCTGACTGTACAGTCCCTGTGTGTTGTCAGTTCCATGCCTTCGAATTATGAGATATGGGAGCTGTGCAATATTACGTGGAAGCCTATTAAGAAAACCCTGAATGTCTTGGGGAAGATTTAAAACATGCCCTCTGTAACCCCGTTGACCCCCATGTATACGCACATAATTGGGCAAGCTCTGGCAATTAGCATTTCTCCAATATCAGTGAGCCCTTGAAGTTGTAATGGTAAAGTACCTGGATCCATATCATTTTCTTGGGAGAATAATTTAGGGTTTCCCTTATCCCGTTTACGCCTTAAACATTCAAACCTGGCAAGACTTAAACCCTGTTTTGTAGGCCAAGTTTCCTTGCATGTGACACATTGTCATTATTCTAAACTGTTAATACTACTATGAAATTTGGCCATCTCAT